ATATCTGTATAACATAGAACACCCTCTCGAAAATGTTCAATGTTCAACTGCAGCGAATTGTGCGAAAAGCGTTCACCAAGTGGGCTGAAGTAGGCGTGGCCCGAGGTCGAGGGGAAAAGCTACGCGGAAAAATTCAGCTGGAAAATATCTTTCAAAATTTAATTTCAGTTGAAATCATCGTATTCGCAGAGGGAATGGAAAATCGAGATGAAATGTTGTTATTCCGCTGGTGATTTTAATGCAGTGACTGCGACTGCAGTTGTGATTGCGAGTTGACTTGTAACTTGATTTTATGCAATTTTTAGCCCAAGATAAATATTTCCCAGCTCTTCTTTTCTGGTATTCGGGTAACATTTCAATTTGTAATTCAGTGGCACACATGGTGGGTAAATTCCATCTAAACTAAACTTCCTGACTTGATTGGGCTGCCATTAAAGACTGATATCTGATATGTGAGTTATGTCTGTGTGGGTCTCATTTCTAAAGGAAGTATGCTGTTCTTAGGCTAAAATGTTAAGCAAGTAAATTGTTTAGAGGGAGGGCATTACAGAAAGTCAGAATTTGTTATGTTATTTAGTTTAATTCACGTTCCACAATAATTAAGATTTTACACAAGCCTTCGTAGAACTCGATGGTCTTTTTCTTTTGCAATCTCCCTTTAGCAAATATTTTGGATGCCCTTTTTCCCTTCTATTTTCTGTCATTTCCAAGCTCAGCTGAGCTCACGTAATCAAGCCGCTCATTTCCCCAGTCACCAGTAACAAATGCTTCAGCTGACATTTCCCTTTTTAAAACTGCTTAGCTTACTGCTTCGGTTATGAGGTGTTGTTGCACTGTCCCTGCCCCTCCCCCTGCCCCATTTTCCTCCCACTCCACCTCCCCCCCATTTCCCACTGGTGAGTCTCCTAGCATCACAGCTCATTAATCAACTGGCGATGAAGTTGCTTGCTGACGTTTTTGTACACCCATCGCGTTGACGTGCATTTGAAAATGTCACTAACTTGGGCGTTGAATTTTCCAACACCCCCCAGCCTCGGTGAAACTTTAGTTTTTGGTTGATTAATTGTTTAGTTAGTGATTAGGGAGAAATAGTGACCACAGTTGGCTCGAAACAAGGAGTCTTTAAAGTTGAGTCCAATTAAATAAATTCTCGAAACGCTGCAAAAACGCGGGCTTGAAAGATACGGCACACGCGATATTGACCGGGCTTTCATTATTGTTTGTGGTGTCAGTGAAACCCGCTAACAAGCTTTATTGCCACTCGAGTGATGGGTTTCTTGTCATTTCCGACCATCTTTTTTAATACTTTTTTTCTGCCCTGCCAACACTTGAGCACACACATTTCTTGCCTCTCGTCTAAAATGCAGCTTGAAATTTTAGTCTTGCATTGCATTTTAACCTCCTTTTTCCTTTTATCGCCACAATGAGTCCTTTTCAAGAACAATTTCTTTCACGTGGCAGAATGTGCGTGTGTTTGTTTGGTGCATTTTTCTGCATCTGACTGCAGTGCGAGTTTTCATCATCATCAGCGTCAAAATGGAAAGCGTCATCATAAAAGTCCCTTTATCTATTACCCTTAATTTTTTCAATATATGTGGCTCTACTTCGTAGCTCTCTTTTTCCCAGGAGAATTATGTATATTGTCAATGTTTGGTTGCCTGCTTTTCTTTTCAGTTGGTTTTACTTTATTTCCAACTGAATTTCTTTTCGCCTATCTTTAAATGCATAATATTTAACTCTTTTTGTAAAGTGGCAACAAAATGAAATGGTTCCTGGGCCTTGGTTTTTGGTAGTTGTAGATTATAGGATGCATCGACTTTCCATTGGCAATAATTCTTTAATTCTCTTTATTTGCCGTCGATGTTTGACAATTCAGTTTGCAAAAGGACCTTAGAAATGTATTTAAATAATTAAATTCTGTTTTAAAATAATTGGATTAACTTAATAATATCAATTCCTTTCAGTTTCCGTTCGTATATACTTACAGTGACAAACTTAATTATTGGCACAACAAGCATGTTAAAATTTGAGGCTATTTTTCTTCTTATAATATACTGATATTGTTATCGTAGTTTTAATTCTTTTTATTTCACTTTATTTTTAATTTTATGTTAGCGTGCTTTTTACAATGTCTCTCTGTTTCTCTCTTTTATCATAAAGTGACCGTTCTCTGATATTCACGTTATCCTTAGCCTTTTTCAATATTAGTTTTACTTAATTCTATATCAAATCGGAACAGCGGGATTGGTACATAAATGTGGATGTTGGTACTTAATTAATATAACTTAGAAATAGCTATAGACATGTTAATCACATCATCATACACTGCTTACAGCTCGGCCATCCTGACAATTAGATCGTCCTCGATCGTGGGTTTCTAGTTTATATAAGTATTATTAAAATGTTCTTACGTTTAGTAAAATAAATATAAATATAAATAAATTGTAAAGAATAAGTTAAGTTGTAAAATTTTGGTTAATAATTTAGATATTAATTGTTTAAATATATATAGGTTGGCTTAACATTTATTAGGAGTTAATTTCACACTGATTACGCCAATCTGCCCATTTTCGTAACCGACATGCTTCTACAATTCCATCATAGGGAATTTGACTAATTTGACAATTTTCAATATCAGCTATAACATATCTATCGTTTGGCAAAATTCTTTTAACGACGTATGGTCCTTTGTACTTCGGTACAAATTTTTTATTTGTACCAATTGTGGTGTCAATGTTTCTCATTACAACAAAATCGCCTTCTTCGAATTCTACATGACTTTTGTGATTTTTCTGATAATATTCCTTGCTTCTTTTCTGAGACTGTTCTATTTTATCTGAAGAATTCTTACGGACATTTCCTAAATCGCACTGTGGTCTATCATTTCTATCATCTAAATATTCTGTCAATGCGTCAATATTACACCCTCTCTGCTGAACTCCAAATAATAATACTGATGGTAATTCCTTCGTCGTTGAATGCACTGAATTATTAATGGCATATTCGGCCTTAACCAGTAGTTTGCTCCAATCCTCGTGCTTTATTGGTTCAGTTATCTTAGCTAACATTGCTTTCACTGTTCTATGTACTCTTTCCACCTGACCGTTCGCTTGAGGTGACGCAGTTCCTACTTTAACGTGTTCAATATTATTTTCTAATAAAAAGTTGGCAAACTCTAATGAAGTAAAACACGTACCCCTATCACTTATAATTCTACGTGGTCGACTGTAATATTGAAAATATTTCGAAAAACACGTATTGACTTCTTTCGTACTCGTTGAATTTACAGGAAACAATTTAACAAATTTGGTAAATCCGTCAATAATCACTAACAAATGTTTCTTTTTCGATATAACTGAGGGCAATGGTCCAAAATGGTCTACATGTAATGTATCAAAAGGAATTGGTCGTTTGGGTATATTATGTAGGGTTCGATTATTCGCATGTGTAGGTACTGTAAACATGATACAATTCAAACAATTGCCAATAAATGCCTCTAGTATTGTTATTCTCTGTGAAAAATAAGCTATTGGATGGAACTTGTTATCATACTGTTTTTGTAATAAGATTCCACCAAATCCCTCGCTACTTGCGTCGCAATGCAATTCCGTTTCTCGATTTGGATTGTACAAAGATAATATAGGGAATGAAATTAATTTCTCACGAAGATATTCAAAAATATTGATACAATCCTCATTGAGTTCATACTTAACACCTGCTTTTGTGAGCTCCTGCAATGGCTTTGCTATTTTTGAGTACGCCGGAATAAATCTTCTAAAGTAAGAAAATAGTCCTAAACATTTCTGCATTCCATGGCGATCTTTTGGTATCGGAAGATGTTTAATAGTTGATGTATGCTCGTTATTCGGACTTATCCCTTTTTCACTGAGTGTGTATCCTAAAAATTCAATACTTTTGTAAGCGAACTGGCATTTATTTATTTTAATTTCCAATCGATATGCTGCTAAAATTCTTAATACTCTTCCTACCGTCTTAAAATGTTCATTCAATGTCTTCGAACCTATAGCAATATCGTCTATGTAAACTACTACATTTCCTTCGCGGATCAAAGGTTGCAGAATAAAATTAATAAATCTCATGAATACCGCGGGTGCATTCATGAGTCCGAAAGGCATTCTTGTGTATTCATACTGTCCGGAAGGTGTTACAAAAGCTGTATATTGCACTGAACTTTCTGCTACTTTCACTTGGTGGTATCCACTTTTCAAATCTAAAAGTGTGAAGTATTGATTTCCTTCTAAACGCTCTAAACAGTCATCTATAAGGGGAAGCGGGTATCCATCACGAATGGTTATCTTATTAAGTTGCCTATAATCTACGCACATGCGCTTTTCCCCAGATTTCTTCTTAACAAGTACAATAGCAGAACTATAGGGCGAATTGCTTTCTCTTATAAATCCTTTTTTCAATAATTCGTCAACTTTAAAATCTACTTCTTTCTTTTCCTGATATGAAAGTCTTCTTGGAACAGAACGTACAGGTTCTTCTGACTTTAGTCTTAACCTCTTAGATAAACATAAATAATTCAATCTTATTATTTCACTGAGCTCACTCCGATCTCTATCACTCAACTTTGGGTCAATGTCAAAACTTTCATCATCCTTAAATACATCTATACTATATATCTCTGGTATGCTGTTATCACTATCAATTTCACTTTCTTCACATAAGTCTTCAAAACTTCTACTGTCTATCAATTGATCACTGTCTCGATATGTTTCACTGTTCACTAATCTATTCAATGGTTCACTATTCTCTAAAATATTCAATGGTTCACTATTCTCTAAAATATTCAATGGTTCACTATTCACTAATCTATTCAATTCAATAATTTCTTTTACTTTATACTTAGAAATCAATTTTATTCCAAATTTTTCCAAAAACTTACGCCCTAAAAGAACATTAGTTGCAACATAGTTGTTGGGTACAACAAAAAATGAGATTTCTTCTTCTATGTTTTGAAAAACGAGCTTAACAAATATTTTTCCGAAAGTTTTAATCTTAAATCCATTAACTCCACAATAGTCAGTCGGAAACAATACATCGCTAATGTTTTTATAAGGAATGGCAGCGTGTTGAATTAAATTAATGGCGCTACCCGTATCGAACATGGCAGAAAGGAAGGTTACATTAGGCTTCATTTGACAATCAGTGTAAAAATATACTCCTACCTGGTTAATAATCGGAATAAACATATTTGGCTCCTCTTCGTCATCCCGTACCGGCTGGTTGTGGGCTGCTCCCACCATTTTTGGGTTACTTGCTGGCTTCTGTTGGCAATCCTTTAGCATGTGCTGGAGCGATCCACAGCGGAAGCAGGAATTCTTCTCGCGCTTCGGCGCAGTGCACGACGAAGCGTAATGCCCATAAGCAGAACAATTGTAGCAACGGATTGTGTTCCGATCTTTTCTAGTGTTTTCTGAGCGGAGGGAAAAATGTTGGGACTTCTTTGTTAGATTTTCATACTTCCGTGCCAACTCCTTCAATTTTTCGATTGTTGTTGCTGTGTACAATAGGGCGATATTGGCTGAACGATCGCGAAAACCATCAATTATAAGCTGAACTGTCAATTTTTCTTCGATGCTAGCACGCATAGCAATTTCCTCCATAAGAAGTATGTATCCCATAACAGTGTTTTTCAGCGGGTTGAAAATGGTCTCCTTTAACAGCAATACGATGTCAGCAGTTGAACTACCACGACCAAATGTTTTTATAAAGTTCTCTTTAAATGCGTCATAAGTATTCGATTGGTCAACACGCAAGAACAAGTCGGCATCTGTTCCCGGTTTCATCAGCATTCGTACGCAGCGTAATTGGAAATTTTTACACTCGTTAACATCTCTGCAGATTCTCTCAAAATCCAAAATCCACTTAAAGGCTTCCTCATTTTCAGTGGCAGAAAACGGAATCATGAGCTGTTTCACCATACGAATGTCATCTGTAGTCTTGCTGTCATTTCGCATTAATTCGGCCAGTATCTTCTTCTTCTTAGCTACCCTTATGGCGGCGTCAAGTAGTGCTTCTTCTTCTTCTAATTCGTCGATGTCTTCGCTAGCGCTCCGCTGGCTTACAACCTCAATTTTGGCATCTTCTTCCTCCAATAGGCTTTCTGGGATATTAGCCGCATCCTGGCAACCGGCATCCAATGCAAGCTTGCGCAGTTGTCTTAAAGTTGCACTTCCTGGAAACCTGATTTCATTGGCTTGAAGCCACTCTACAATATTCGCCTTGTCCATTCCAATTTGGAGTCACTCGCCAAAACGCAATTATAGGAAAAAAAAACTTGTGCGTCTTCGGATAGCCAACAATGTTTATGTAGGCGGATGTTTAAATGGTGTCTATCCCACTTCTGAAGTTGTTATCGTAGTTTTAATTCTTTTTATTTCACTTTATTTTTAATTTTATGTTAGCGTGCTTTTTACAATGTCTCTCTGTTTCTCTCTTTTATCATAAAGTGACCGTTCTCTGATATTCACGTTATCCTTAGCCTTTTTCAATATTAGTTTTACTTAATTCTATATCAAATCGGAACAGCGGGATTGGTACATAAATGTGGATGTTGGTACTTAATTAATATAACTTAGAAATAGCTATAGACATGTTAATCACATCATCATACACTGCTTACAATATTAAAATAAAACAAAATATTTTTAGATAGAATCATTAATTTCATGTTAAATACAAGTGACTTCATTAATTTATCTTTTATAAATAATTTATTAAAAATAAAAAACCAAAAAATGGACCAAATTTGCCTGAACAAAATTATTGGCACACTTGGGTTTTAATTAACTATTTTGTTAAAACTTTATCGATTTGGCCACTTTTTTTTTAATTATCACATTTGCCTCTATAATCTTAATGGTATAATGATTAATTTTATAGCTAAAATTTTTTAGTGCCTTAAAATAATGGAAAAGTTGTTTGACTTTACAAGGTAACAAGAAAGGAAAGCTAACTTCGGGCGGAGCCGAAGTTGATATACCCTTGCAGAATACTCTGTAAATTATATTCTCCAAAATTATTCATATGATGCATTCTTAATACTCATAAAAAATCCCAACTTCCTAACTTTAAAAACACCAAAGTATGACATTTCCAATCGTTCAGTTATATGTCAGCTATAGGATATAATCGGCCGATCCTTATGAAATTTGGTAGGTCGGATTGGCTGGCCAAATATAACACCCATAGAAAATGCCGACTTCCTAACTTTACAAACACCAAAGTTATGGCATTTCCGATCAATCAGTTATATGGCAGCTATAGGATATAGTCGGCCGATCCTTATGAAATTCGGCATGTCGGATTGATTAGCCAAATATAAAACCCATAGAAAATCCCAACATTCTAACTTTACAAACACCAAAGTTATGGCATTTCCGATCAATCAGTTATATGGAAGCTATAGGATATAGTCGGCCGATCCTTATGAAATTCGGCATGTCGGATTGATTAGGCAAATACAAAACCCATAGAAAATCCCAACTTCCTAACTTTACAAACACCAAAGTTATGGCATTTCCGATCGTTCAGTTATATGGCAGCTATAGGATATAGTCGGCCGATCCCGGCCGTTCCGACTTATATACTGCGTGCAAAGGAAAGAAGGGTGTGTGCAAAGTTTCAATTCGATATCTTTAAAACTGAGAGACTAGTTTGCGTAGAAACAGACAGACGGACAGACGGACAGACAGACGGACAGACGGACAGACGGACATGGCTATATCAACTCAGGAGGTGATCCTGATCAAGAATATATATACTTTATAGGGTCGGAGATGTCTCCTTCACTGCGTTGCACACTTTTGACCAAAATTATAATACCCTCTGCAAGGGTATAAAAATAAAATCAACTGCATGTGTCCAAAAATTAAAATTTAATAAGCAGGATCTAAAAATATTTTGTTTTATTTTAATATCAGCATATTATAAGAAGAACAAGAAAGGAAAGCTAACTTCGGACGGAGCCGAAGTTGATATACCCTTGCAGAATATTCTGTAAATTATATTCTTCAAAATTATTCATATGATGTATTCTTAATACTCATAAAAAGTCCCAACTTCCTAACTTTAAAAACACAAAAGTTATGGCATTTCCAATCGTTCAGTTATATGGCGGCTATAGGATATAGTCGTCCGACCCTTATGAAATTCGGTAGGTAGGATTAATTGGCCAAAGATAAAACTCATAGAAAATCCCAACTTCCTAACTTAAAAAACACCAACGTTATGGCTTTTCCGATCGTTCAGTTATATGGCAGCTATATGATAGAGTGGCCTGATCCGGCTCGTTCCGACTTATATACTACCTGCAATAGAAAGACAACTTTTGGGAAAGTTTCAAGCAGATAGCTTTTAAACTGAAGGACTAGTTTGCGTAGAAACGGACGGACGGACAGACGGACGGACAGACGGACGGACAGACGGACAGACGGACATGGCTATATCGACTCTACTGGTGATGCTGATCAAGAATATATATACTTTATAGGGTCGGAAATGTCTCCTTCACTGCGTTGCAAACTTTTGACTGAAATTATAATACCCTCTGCAAGGGTATAAAAATAGCCTCAAAGTTTAACATGCTTGCTGTGCCAATAATTAAGTTTGTCACTGTATGTACATATGTCTCACACTTTCGTTATGGTAAACTTTGTTTTTATTCTTCTCAAAGTTCTCTTCATATTAAATAATTTTTACTTTCACTTTCTTGGGACTTTGGACAGCAGAGCAAAATTAGGGAAAACACTTTGCCGCCATTCATGTTTGTTCATGTTCAGCGTATGAAAGTTTTTCACGCAATTAAGTTGAGCAAAATGCTGTTGTGGCAGACCCCACATTTTAAAGAAGTCGTCGCCAGACCTGTTCAGCTGCTGCTCCGGAAGTTTGTTGTTCCTCATCAACAAAAAAATTTAAATAAAACTTTTTCGCTTATAGGAATTTTTGGTTTATTTTAGATTTGATTTATCATAAGAATCTTACTGTGAAATAGAGGAAAGGTGTTAACTTGGCTTGAAAAATTTGCAATACTTTATTTTTATAGTAGAACTTTTGATTGGAAAGGATTTTTTAAAAATACTGGATTTTGAATTAAGCATTATATAATATTTTTGTATTTTTCTTTATTCCAAATCCTTAAACGTTTATGTTTGTTTTTTCTTCAGGCTTGTCGCACTTGTTTGAGTCAAATTGTTTTCTTTATATGCCTCACTAATTCATTATTTTTTCAAGAGGGTAACATCCCTGCCACTTACCAAAACCACTCCGCTTGTAAGCCATTTTCATCCTTCATTTAATTTAAATTTAATTTCATTTTAAATGCACTCGAAATGATTAGGAAAATATTCGACCTTTCTGCAAACACTTGAGCGTTTTGTTCTGTTATCGCCGACGTGAAATCATCGTAAAAGTACAAAATGGTAACCGAAAGGTTTGGAAACAAGTAAAACCGAAAATGACTTGCCCGAAATGGCATTGTTATTCGTGGGTTCGGCTGTTTACATTGATTGCTGGCCGAGATACAAAAGCGAGAACGAACGAGTTTCAGTACTCCATCACATAATGCATATATTTTGGCCTTTGTTGTTTGAATCCTGATGCGATGCGAGGGATCCTACCTGAGAACCGGACTGAGCAACTCGCCGAGAGGTCCATTGTGTCAGGTCAGGCATCAACGTTAATCCAATTAGTTAGACAATGCCCGTTGGGACTCGGTTTTCGGTTTTCGGTTTTCGGTATTGGGATCTCCTGTCTCGTGCGGATCGAATTTTGTGAATACGCCCCAGTCGACCTTCTAATCCCGCCCGCCATTTGTTGATGCACTTAATTAGGTGGGAGGAGGAGCTGCCGGGCCAACTAAGAGTATTTGTTTTGGCCTTTCAATTGCCGCAGCTTTGGCACGTCTGCACCACAATGATTATAGAATATGTCGAGAATATTCTCCAAAATAAGCTTTGAGTAACAAGGCGCACGTTGGCATCGTTAGCACGGCCATGATCTGGAATTGGTTCAAAATGTTTATGGCCAATACACACATAAACACACAAAGGACCCACCTCCTTCAGCGCCAGTCAAACACATAATAGTGGCCAGCACACTATAATGTTTATAGTAGATGGAGAAAGGAGGAACTAGAACATTAATGGCTTTTGTGAAATCACAAAGATTGCAGCTCCAGCTGCTGGAAATTCCGGAAAATTAATTGTTTTTGGTGTTCGATTTCAATGGAAGCAAGCTACTTAATGACTTAATAGACAATTCGATTTTGACTACCCTCTACACCCAGAAAAATTGAACAAAAACGAAAAATTACTCAAAATGATATGAAAAATTATCCAAGCCCCAAACTTGTAGGCCATTTATGAACTAACGTTAAGGGGTATAGTTAATTCGGTGCAAAATTGGTTATTTTTAAAGAATTTTTATTCGTGATACGGATAGTCTCAGCTCAATCTTGGTTTTTGCATGTGATAGGACAACATTTAAACAACATGTGTGAATGTTTTCATCCAAATATATTAAAAATTGAGTGAGATACAGGCTATCTCCGGCGGCGCCTCGAAGAAAACACGTTTTGCGGTGTACACGATAACTGGTCACATAATCATCTCAAATGGAAAAATCAAATTGCACTAGTTAAAGGACCAGATTCCTCAAGTAACGCTGTCGAGTTTTTTTTTTTTTTTTTCGATTTTTTAAGGCTCTTGAAAGTCAAAAACCCCGATTATCGCCCAAAACGTCGAGCTGTTTGTTGCTCTAAAAATAATAAATTTTCAAAAAAAAACTCGAGAGCGTTTCCTGAGGAATCTATCCGTCCGATAGATTTTGCAGGATCGTGTACACCGACTTTGAAATGGCAACTTTTCAGGAGAGCGCTTACTTACCTACGCTCAACTGCCCATAAGTTCGGAAGTTTTACTCGGATCGATCTAAAATTTTAACACAATATTCTGTTGTGCATTAAGAAAAAAAAATGTAAATACTATATTTTAAAGATATTTCAAATATATTGATAGAGATTCTTAGAATTTATTTTAGTGGCGAACCAAGGGCCTTTTATAATTTCTGCGCGTTCTTAAATTACAAACGGAAGATCATTGCTAAGGACTTTTCAAAAATTCGCGAAGTATTGGTTTGGCTGATGAAATACTAGAAAATTTTCTAAGCTTTCCAAAAGTCATTAAGCAGAACATAATGCTTCTAGTTATCCCATTTCGCTTCACCATTGGAGGTGGCTTAACTCTTATGTCAGGGTCATATAAACTGGGGAGTGTACTCCATCCGCTGTGAGTTCTATTACCCGACAGACACTACTTCCTTTCTCCTTTTCTGTTTCTGCTAAAGATAGCTACACTTCTATTTCTGTGCTCCACAGGCAACCTGCTATGCGGCGACTTGTTTTCCCCACCCACTGGAAAATCTGCTACGCTAATTGCAGCTTCAACGCCTTTCAACACGCTTTAATAGCCCCCTCCTTCGGGGATGCCCCCTGCTCATGGGTTATCTCCGTAAACGCTTCCTGGTTCTTTGGGCATGCAAACTATGTCATTGGGTCTTCTGCTTTTTTTCTTTTTGGGAATCGGGGAATCTCGAAGTGCTGCTGGATTTCCAG